CCCAGCTAATTTTTTTTTGTATTTTTAGTAGAGACGGGGTTTCACCATGTTGACCAGGATGGTCTTGATCTCTTGACCTCGTGATCCACCCGCTTCGGCCTCCCAAAGTGCTGGGATTACAGGCTTGAGCCACCGCGCCCGGCCTTTTTTTCAGTACTTTTTAATGGCAACAACTTGACCAAAAATTTGTCACTGAATTTTGAGACCCATTAAAAAAGTTTAATGAGAAAAAAAAAACTGACTTTTAATTTGCATTACTAAGTTTAATACCATTGCTTAATACTTAATACTCAGTGAATACTGAGATTTTTATAAAGGAATTAAACAATTGTCACTAAAAGAAATAATGTCTCCTCAATTTGAGCAAAACTAAATGGCTTAAATCCTAGGAAACATTTTTAGTGAAGGCATTTGTTTTAAATGTATTCTAACTTAACAGTGTAGAAAGCAACTAAACATTAAAAAAGAAAAATTTAACCAGTTTCTAAAACATAGTTTGGAGCTCAGATTCTGGGGAAATGATTAGGACACCCTAAATCCAAGGTCTCCTTTCCTTTATTTAGTTTCAGTTTTTGAGACGGAGTCTTGCTCTACTGCCCAAGCTGGAACGTAGTGGCTCAATCTCGGCTGACTGCAACCTACACTTCCTGGGTTCAAGCGATTCTCCTGCCTCAGTCTCCTGAGCAGCTGGGATTACAGGCACGCACCACGTGCCCTCTAATTTTTGTATTTTTAGTAGAGAAGAGGGTTTCACCATGTTGGTCAGGCTGGTCTCGAGCTCCTGACCTTGCCATCTGCCTGCCTCAGCCCCCTGGGATTACAAGCGTGAGCCACCGCCCCAGGCTTTCCTTTCTAGAACGAAAGCTTCTTTAAACATACGTATTTATCAGAAATACAAGTATTTGTCATGAGTGATACAAATTTCCAGGAAAACATTTTAATTGTAGTAAATTTGTTAGATTTCTATCAGGTTTTAACTCGGATCAGTAATATGGGTTTGATTAGGGTTCTAGGCCTAATGATAGGTCACTAGGCTTCCTTTAGGGTTATGTACCATCTCAGTTATTTTGAATTGACCAGATAGGGGGTTCCCAAGGGTTCTGCTTCGTTTTGTTGTTTTAAGATTCTTATGGGTGGTGGGATCCACAGAGATGGCTTTCAACAAAATTGCATGCGTGAATTTGTCTTGAGTCTCAACGCACTGTTCAAATTAAACAATTTAGACATGCCCCAACTATAAGACTAAGAAGTGAATGGTATAGTACAATTTTGTCACAAATTCAAGGGCAATCTAAAGTGCCCGATGGTAGAGGTCCGCCTTCTCCTGGGTATCTGGAACAAAAGAAGCGTTCGCGAGTCGAGAGAGGAGTGCGTAACTCCCTGCCCTCCCCCTCCCAAAGTAAATCAAATCAAGGAATATGAGTGCCTACAGACAAGCCTCGCTGCTTTTCTTCCCCTTCAGGGCTAGCGTTTGGGGAGGGCGAGGCTGTGGGTACTCTTCGGTGCTTCAGTGTCCCGGGAGAAAGAAAGGCCCAGCCAAGGGTCCTCACAGCTGGCGTAGAATTCGGCCCGTTCGTAGGCGATCGACCCCAGAGAGGAAAGCTGCTTCTCAAGCTGGCGGAGGGAGAGGAAACGGCGCACAAAAGCAGTACGACCTGTCCCTTATCGGCGTCTAAGGGGAAGGGTGGAGAAAACGAAAACAGAAGCGGGCCGGGTGCCTCGGCTCCCGCCCCAGCGCCTTTTAAACTGCGTTTCTACCTCCTCTCTCTCAGCGCGGCGGCTAATGGAACCCGCGCGAGCCCTCCCGCCAATCAGCGCCGCGCTTCCTCCCGTCGCCCGCCAATGGCGGCGCGCGTTCTTGGGGCGTGGGCGAAGCAGGCTGCTCGCCTCCTGCCTGTAGTGTGTGGGCTGGGGTTGGTGCGGGCTTCCAGCTTGGCCGCACTTGGTCCGTAGTTCGGCTTCGGGGGCTTTTGTGTCCGGGTCTGGCTTGGCTTGTGTCTGTGAGTTTTTGCTCCTCTCCGCGGCGCTCCTCCCGGGCAGGAGCCGTGAGGCTCTGAGGCAACACAGCGGCCCCCCGACCAGGAGCGAGCGCGCCGGCGTGAGCGGCGGCGGCTAAGACTGCGGGGAGGGGGCTTCGCAGATCCCCGAGATGCCGGAGTTCCTGGAAGACCCCTCGGTCCTGACGAAAGAGAAGTTGAAGAGTGAGTTGGTCGCCAACAATGTGACGCTGCCGGCCGGGGAGCAGCGCAAAGACGTGTACGTCCAGCTCTACCTGCAGCACCTGACGGCGCGCAACCGGCCGCCGCTCGCCGCCGGCGCCAACAGCAAGGGGTCCCCGGACTTCTCCAGTGATGAGGAGCGCGAGCCCACCCCGGTCCTCGGCTCTGGGGCCGGCCCCGCGGGCCGGAGCCGGGCCGCCGTTGGCAGGGTAAGGATGTGGGGATGGGGCCACAAAGGCGGGCGTTTGGCGGTTGCCGCGCGCGCTCGCCGCCCGCCGCAGCCCCTCCCTCCCGAGCGTCCTTTCGGGCCTCCCAGGTGCAGGGCTGTCCCTGCGCCGCCCCTTGCCCGCTTGGCTGCAGGCGCCGGAGCGGAGAAGTCAGAAGTTGGGACCGCGGGGTTCGCATTCTTTGACGTGTGGTCTGGGAGGTGTGGAGTTGCGTTGGCGGCGGTTGTTTTGCACGCGGGTGGTGGGGCCCCCGCGCGGGCGATGTCGCGTCCGTCGACCACCAGCCGCTGGCAGCGGGCTTTTAGACGGGGACTTACGTGCCCTTTCGAAAGCTCTAGATGGGTGGCCCCAAAATGAGATAGGTTAAGTTCGAGCGTTTTCCCGCTTTATTAACTGAAATGACTCGCAACAGAGTCTCAGAGCGCTCCCTGGAGGGCAACTGATGACACACTAATTTCTAACCAAAATTTGAAATAAGGAAATTCCCGCCTTTTTATACTTTTGCATATGGAGGGCTTTTTGAACCGTTTATGTTTTCTAGTTTGTCTTAATCTTTCCTAGCAGTAGGCCATCTTTTGGCGGGACAGCTTCACGACAAATTAAAACGAGCATTTTAAACTACCTTTTTAAGCACCTATCAAATATTTAAAAATCTGGGTAAATTACTTAAAAATTACTCACAGTTTGGATTGAGTTTCCCCCCCTTATTGCTAGATTTTGCTTGAGGAAAGGAAAGACTTAGGATTCAGGAAAAATTTATTTCGTGACATTCTGGTGTATCGATATTGCAATTTGGAATGTCTGATCCCGGTTAAATCTCAAATCGGCTCTAGCAAAGCATGTTTTTTTTGAGAGTAGTTTGCTTTTTGTTCTGTGGATTTTAAAGTGCTTTTTGTGGGTTTGCTTATGCCTGCCGAGTTACAGGGCTTCACATCGTAATAGGATGAAGCTAAACCTAGAAATGGGTGTAACTTAAAATGCCTTGTAAGACAGTGAATGTGGTGTTTGAAGTTGTTGCGATTGATCACTAGGGTAAACCAAAATTATTCCTTCCTTCAAAGTTTACAACACTTTGGTTTTTAAAGAACCTGTCTAATGTGTTTTCTTGGCTACTCAGGCGGAAATGAAAGACAAATGTAATAGACACATGTAAATTTAATTGAAAATCTTAGCCTGGGCTTTAGAGAAGTTGAAAGTTTTAACGTCTTGAGTACGGTGTCTGACAAATAGTAGTGCCAAATATATGTTGGACAAATAAAAGACCAATCACACCTTATTGTTTCTGATGTCTTGTTTTGTGCAAAGCTACTTTTGTTAATAATAAACAAACTTACTTTTGAAATAAATCGTACCCGCTTACCCATTATGTCCCCTTGCTCTGAAAAATAAAGTAGTATTTAAACTCTTTCAGTAAAGGCCGGGCGCGGTGGCTCACACCTGTAATCCCAGAACTTTGGAAGGCCGAGGCGGGTGGGTCACGAGGCCAGCAGTTCGAGATGAGCCTGACCAGCATTGTGAAACCCCATCTATACCACAAATACAAAAATTACCCAGGCGTAGTGACTCCTGCCTGTAATCCGAGTAACTTGGGAAGCTGAGGCAGGAGAATCGCTGGAACCCGGGATGCGGAGGTTGTGGTGAGCCGAGATCGCTCCACTGCACGACAGCCTCGGCGACAGTGAGAGTGTCTCAAAAAAAGAAACTCTTTCAGTAATAATTTGGTTGAAAAAATCAGCACAGTTGAAAAAAAAAAACCCTAGATCTTCTATAAAACCCTGTGTTGGTCCTCTGTGCAAATGTCTTAAAATGTGAAGTTTTTTGTTGTATGCTTATAATAGAATTACAGGTTATTATTTTTAGGCAGGATCTCTCTGCCTCCCAGGCGGAAGTGCAGGGGTGTGATAGCTCACTGCAGCCTCAAATTCCTGGGCTCAGGAGATTCTCCTGCCTAAGCTTCCCTGAGTAGCAAAGGCCATGGGACATGTGCTACTAATCTTTTTTGTGTGTGTGGGGGGGGGGGTGGAGCTTTCTGTGTTGTCCAGGCTGGTCTAGAACTCTTGGCCTCAAGCAATCCTGCCTCAGCCTTGGCTCCTATTTATTTTGGGGACGATTTCTTTTACATGTCAACAACCATCTCAGTTTTAATGTTTTTCTGTCAGCCACTTGGTAAGAGTTTACCTCCCGATCTACCTAGTGTTCTTTGGGGGATAAGAAGACTAAATGTAAAAATTTTTTAATTCAGATTATCCAGCAATTTTGAGTTCCTACCATGTGTTCTTGACTACTGGATTTAACTTTGGGGATTTAAAAAAATGAATTGCATTTATTTACTCATATATCCAATTCATATGTTAATTGAAGTTGGTAAGCACCCTGTAAATAAGTTGTGAATAAAAGGAAGTAATTTTTGTTGTTGTTTTGGGGGTTTTTTTGGTTTGTTTTTTGTTTTAATTTTTCTCCGACTGATTCGCAAAGAATGTTGTTTTGTGTTGAGACCGAATCTCTGTCCCTCCAGTTGGAGTGCAGTGGTGTGATCTCGGCTCACTGCAGTCTCTGCCTCCTGGGTTCAAATGATTCTCCTGCCTCAGCCTCCCAAGTAGCTGGGATTACAGGCAAGAGCCACCACACCTGGCTAATTTTTGTATTTTTAGTAGAGCTGGGTTTTTACCGTGTCAGCCAGGCTGGTCTCAAACTCCTGACCTCAGGTGATCCGCCTGCTTCGGCCTCCCAAAGTGCTGGGATTAGAGGCATGAGCCACTGAGTGGCATGAAGTAACGTTTTTTAAGAGTACCTAGTAGGTCTATTGGCATGGTAATTAAGCTGTTTGTATTTCATTTAATGATTTTATCCATATAGCGAAAGTTTATTTCATAATTTTATATTTAAATATCTTCTACCTGAAGTTGTTGTTGTTGTTGTTTTTCAAGATGGAGTTTCACCATATTGGTCAGGCTGGTCTCAAACTCCTAACCTCAGGTGATCCGCCCGCCTCAGCCTCCCAAAGTGCTGTGCTGGTATTATAGGCATGAGCCACGGCGCCCGGCTACCTGAAGTATTTAAAACTCAGAGGTGGCTGGTCAAGGTGCCTCAAGCCTGTAATCCCTACACTTTGGGAGGCCTAGGCGGCTGGATCACCTGAGGTCAGGAGTTCAAGACCAACCTGGCCAACATGATGAAACCTTGTCTCTACTAAAAATACAAAAAAATTAGCTGGGCGTGGTGGCAAGTGCTTGTAATCCCAGCTACTTGGGAGGCCTGAGGCAGGAGAATCACTTGAACCCTGGAGGCAGAGGCTGCAGTGAGCTGAGATTGTGCCATTGCACTCCAGCCTAGGCAACAAGAGTGAAACTCCGTCTCAAAAACAAACAAACAAAAAACCTCAGAGGCGTCTACCCTTGACTGGGCTTCATATTGGTGTCAACAACTTGAAGAAAAAATATTGGTAGTCAGTAGCATCATTTTCTGTTTTAAAGTACATTAAGTGAGTTATAATTGGGAATCTGGTCGATATTTTTATCAGGCATAGGAAAAAATAATTTTGAATTTACAGGAAAAGAATCTTAGGACATTTGTGATAATTTATGTATAAAATTATTCTTCAGCTGGGTGCGGTGGCTAATCCTAGTACTTTGGGAGACTGAGGCGGGCAGATCACCTGAGGTCAGGGGTTCAAGACCAGCCTGGGCACGATGGCAGGTGCCTGTAATCCCAGCTACTTGGGAGACTGAGATGGAAGAATTGCTCGAACCCTGGAGACGGTGGTTGCAGTGAGCCAAGATTGCCCCACTGCACTCCAGCCTGGGTGGCTGAGCAAGACTCCATCTCAAAAATATATATATATATTCTTCATGTTAGATTCCTCTTATATATACTATGTTTTATGTTTATGTTTTATGTTTGCCCCATATAAAAATAATACCAGGTCATATTTCTTAAAGAATCTTTATAATCTTCTGCATAATGGGATGGCAAAAAGAAAAAAAATGTTTATAATATAGGAGAAAGCCAAATTATGTTTGAGAGTTGCCGATTTTTAACATTTTAAGACAAATCAAACGTCAATGTGGATTCGGCCAAGATTAAATATTTGCATAGCATATACCTTCTATTTAATCATGGGTTTAATTACAGAAGACATTGTTGCATTTCAGCCTCTACCATAGACTCTTGGATTCACTCGGTATAACATGACAAAAATTTGCACATTAGAAGTTTTGCTTTGATTTTGTTTTCTTATTTCTAAGCTTTTTATTTTATGCATCTTGGTACCAGTATTTTTAGGTGTTAGATTGTGGACACAAAAATAAACGTTTACAGAGTTGGCAGTCTGCATATTGTTCTAAGGAGCAGAGCATCAAGGCGCAGCTATTTGAATTAGTGGAGCATAATATTCTTGATTGATCTGGTCTGGTGAATTATGAGTGTGTGTTTGGGTGGTTTGTTTTTTTTTTTGTTTTGTTTTTTTTAAGATGGAGTTGGGCTCTGTCACCCAGGCTGGAGTTCAGTGCTATGATATCGGCTCATTCCGCCTTCCAGGTTCAAGTGATTTTCCTGCCTCAGCCTCCTGAGTAGCTGGGATTACAGGTGAGCGCCACCATGCCTGGCCAATTTTTGTATTTAGTAGCTGGGATTACACACCATCACACCTGGCTAATTTTTTTTGTATTTTTAGCAGAGACGAGGTTTCTCCATGTTGGTCAGGCTGGTCTGGTCTCAAACTCCTGACCTAAGGTGATCTGCCTGCCTTGGCCTCCCAAATATTTTTAGAATTTTATTTGTCGTTCAAGACCAGGCTCATCTTGAACTCCTGGCTTCAAGGGATCCACCTGCTTGGGCCTCCCAAAGCATTGGGATTGTAGGTGTGAGCTACCGCTCCTGGCCAAATTATGAATTCTCAATAGGAAATATTTGAAGACTTGGAAAAGAACAATAAGAAGTAGGATACCAATAAGAAATGTTAATTAAATCACAAATTGACCTTGACTGTTACAATAAAGTGTTAAGTATGCAGACTTTTGAATCATAGAGTTAATACATTCAAATTCCAGATCTGCCATTTATTCATATGACACTGAACAGTGTCTTAATCTAAGATCCTCCATTTTCACCTGAAATAGAGAAATAATCTAATAGCAATAGCTACTTAGTCAGATTGAGGATTACATGCAGTTGTGTATGTGAAGTGTCTAGTGCTCAGTAATTAATACCTATTACAACAAATGATTTCTGAATTTTTGTCTTTAATGTCAGGACAATACAATGCAAAGTTGCTAAAATATAATTTTGGGAAGCCAATAACATGGATATGTGAAAGTAATGTGTATATTATAGCATGCAGATATCCTGAGTTAGTGAAGTGCATGCTTGAACCTCAGTTTTCTAAATTGTCAGGTGAGGATATTAGTATCTTATTCCATGGAGTATTTTAGGATTCTGTAAGTTAATACAGAAACCTGGAACACAACTCAGTATATAATAAGTGCTCAATAGAATCTGTTATAATACTGTTACAGTCAAGCATCTTTGATACTAGAGGTAGAGATTAAAGGAGTTAGAGTAGCTCATGGGTGGTATCAAAGAACTCTTGCAGGGGCGGGGAGGGGTGTTTGTTTGTTTGTTGAGATGGAGTCTCTCTGTGTCACCCAGGCTAGAGTGCAGTGGCATGATCTCGGCTCACTGCAACCTCCACTTCCCAGGTTCAAGCGATTCTTCTGCCTTAGCCTCCTGAGTAGCTGGGACTACAGGCGCATGCCACCACACCCAGCTAATTTTTGTATTTTTAATAGAGAGGGGATTTTACCATATTGGCAAGGCTGGTCTCAAACTCCTGACCTCATGATCTGTTCACCTCAGCCTCCCAAAGTGCTGGGATTACAGGTGTGAGCCACCGTGCCTGGCCAGAACTGTTGGGTTTTAAAGTTGAAAAATACATTAGAGATCATCAGGTGGCGTAGTAGGTACTCAGTATTTTTGAGTGAAACTCTTAAGAGATAAGTGATCTACTTAAAGGAACAAAGCTTTCTGGAGGCAGAATTTACTACAACTAATGGCTACCTTTTTCCTGACTGAAACTGCTAATCATGTGTGACACACTAACTGTCTCCTAATTTTTTATCCTTACTAAATTTGCGATTTATAAAATGACATTACTTTTCTGGAACTTTTTTCGTGACAGATTAAAAATCACATATTTGGCCAGGCACAGAGACAGAGGCTCACACCTGTAATCCCAGCACTTTGGGAGGCCGAGGCAGGTGGATCACCTGAGGTCAGGAGTTTGAGACCAGCCTAGCCAACATGATGAAACCCTGTCTCTACTAAAAATATAAAACTTTGCCAGGCATGGTGGGGTGCACCTGTAATCCCAGCTACTCGGGAGGCTGAGGCAGGACAAATGCTTGAACCGGGGAGGCAGAAGGTTGCGATGAGTCGAGATGGCACCACTGCACTCCATCCATCCTGTGTGACAAAGCAAGACTCCATCTTTAAAAAAAAAGACTTAAGATATTTTTTGAGATGGAGTCTTGTTCTTTTGCCCAGGCTGGAGTGTGTGGCACGATCTTGGCTCACTGCAACTTCCACCTCCTGGGTTTAAGTGATTCTCCTGTCTCAGCCTCCCGAGTGGCTGGGATTATAGGCACGCACCACCACACCTAGCTAATTTTTGTGTTTTTAATAGAGACAGCCTTCTGCCATGTTGGCCAACCTGGTCTCAAACTCCCGACTACAAGTGATCCACCTGCCTTGGCCTCCCAAAGTGCTGAGATTATAGGCATGAAGCCACCTTGCCCAGCTCCAAGAGATTTCTTGGAAATCTCTCAGAACATATGAAAAGTTGGAATTTCCTGGATGTTTTGTTGATAGTAAATTTGAACATTCTGTGGTAGCGGGGATTATGTATAAATAATTTGAACCTGATTGATTGTTTTTCTGTATTTTATTTTTATTTTAAGCATTATTTAGTTTCTCTATACTACCGGACTGCACTTTTTGGAAAGTTCAAGTAAGTCAGTAACAAAGGATTGAGTTTGTTTGATTAAATCTTTTCTTAAAAGAAGTAAATCTTAGAACTCTTAGTTTATAGGCAACTATTTGGATATTATGGTGTGGGTTGCTTCCAGATTTGAGCCTGGCAGTTCTAGGTTAGTGCAACGTATGTGAATTAAAAGCCTGCTGAAAATACCCTAACTGTAACTCTCCATAGCCATCTTTTTATTAAAGACTTTTCTTGAGGTAACATAATTATTCTTATGAGCAGCTATCTTTTTGGTGAGGATTTTTTGGCTTCTGATTATAGAATGATTAGCAATTAACAGCTTTTAAAAAAAGAATTTCTCATAGCTTGCTTTATTTGAAGTATTTCAGGCCGGGTGCGGTGGCTCACACCTGTAATCCCAGCCCTTTGAGTGGCTGAGGCAAGTGTGTAATTTGAGGTCTGGAATTAAAGACCATCCTGGCCAACTCTACTAAAAATGCAAAAATTAGTTGGGCGTGTGGTGCACACCTGTAGTCCCAGCTACTCTGGAGGCTGAGGCAGGGGAATTGCGTGAACCCGGGATGCAGAGGTTTCAGTGAGCCAAGATTTGTGCCACTGCACTCCAGCCTGGACAAGAATGAGACATAGTCTCAAAAAAAGAAAAAGAAAAAAGATTTGAGCCTGACAGTTTTAGATCAGAGTATTTTTATTTGCTAAAAACAGGGATTGTAGTACATAGCCAAATAATGCCTGATTCCCCGCCCCCCCAATATGACTGGAAAGTGAGCATTCCATACAACTTGGTAATTTGAGCCTTTTTCATACAATTCTCTTTGATGTTGTCATTCTTTTAACAGCCATTTTTTGTTCAGTACACTGTTTTTGCTGAGGTCACTGACCCATTTGTCAGGTTGTTTGCCACAGCCTTAAAAGGTATCCATACTTTTGCTTCCTTTTTAGTTGTTCAACCTTGGAAATTTATAGTTTTCCCAGTAAATACTGCCATTGTATAAAGTAATTTTAAAACTTTAAAAATTTCTCTCTAAGTTTGTTTCACGTTATTTTGATTATTTTTAGTAAACTGATGGTACAGAAGTCAATCTGGTGACTAAACTGTCACAGGTGATAATGTAACCATGAAATGTGTCAGATTTCCTCGTGGTCATAAACTAGCTACTAAAATAACTACGTTATAAGGAGTTTACAGTCCTCTCTCCTATCCTGGGGGTGGAGATTGGTTCCAGGACCCGGCCATGGATATCAAACTCTGGGGATGCTTTAGTAAGTCCCTTAATATAAAGTGGTGTAGTAACCTACACACATCCTCCCATATACTTCAGATCATCTGTAGATTACTTATATATAACGCCTAATACAATGTAAGTGCTATGTAAATAGTTGTTATACTGTATTTTTTATTTGTATTTTTATTGTTGTATTGTCATCCCCCCACCCCGCCAAGTATTTTTGCTCTATGATTGGTGAATTCACAAATGTAGTGAAACTCCTTGTAACATTTTAGTAGCTAGTTGCCATCCCTTGCCATCAGATATATATGCTTTAAGAAATGAAATATAACTTTTGGTTACTCAAGCTGTGTGTGGTGGCTTACACCTGTAATCCTAGCACTTTGGAAGTCCTAGGTGGGCTGATCACTTGAGTCTAGGAGTTCAAGACCAGCCTGGGCAACATGGCAAAAAACTCATCTCTACAAAAAAAAAAAAAAGAAAAAGCCAGGGTTGGTGGTGTGCACCTGTGGTCTCAGCTATTTGGGAGACTGAGGTGAGAAGTAAGGGTTGCAATGAGCTGAGATGGTGCCACTGCACTCCAGCCTGGGCGACAGAGGGAGACTGTATCTCCAAAAAAAAGGAAAAAAATAGTTATTGAAAGGAAAATGTTATCTAAAGTCAGTTAGTTTTACTTTTATTTACTCTTTTAGATTTTTGATGTCATTACTACGTCTTTTAGATAAGTAATCCAAATGGACTACTTTAACAGTAATGTCTTTAAAATTTAAATTACTGACTCCCCTATTAGGTTTGTATGATTGCAGTTCAACTTAGAAAATGCTTTCCAATAATGAATTGCTCTTAATTTAATTAAATTGCTAAGGTTTAATATTACTATAAACTAACTTGGTGGTGGATTATATGTTTGTTATCCAGTGTTGTTATCTAATAAGTGGACACTTTTTAATTCATGTGAAAATGATTACTGAACTTTGTTTACAGAAAGCCACAAAGAAAACTGATAAACCCAGACAAGATGATAAAGATGATCTAGATGTAACAGAACTAACTAATGAAGATCTTTTGGATCAGCTTGTAAAATACGGAGTGAATCCTGGTCCTATTGTGGGTAAGTTGATAAAATTTCAAATACAATGTCTTTTCTCTGAAGTGAGACCATAGATTATTTTCTCCTTTTGCTTAGCAGTTACTTTAGGTTCTAAGGACTGGTTTGTCATTAATCATTTGTATTAGCAGAACCTATCTATTTGTCTATCTATATTTAAATCTATCTATATATATAGATAGATAGATTTTTT